AGCTACTACAGGTAATACTACTACCAGAGCTACTACCGGCAATACTACTACCAGAGCTACTACAGGTAATACTACTACCAGAGCTACTACCGGTAATACTACTACCAGAGCTACTACCGGTAATACTACTACCAGAGCTACTACCGCTAATACTACTACCAGAGCTACTACCGGTAATACTACTACCAGAGCTACTACCGGCAATACTACTACCAGAGCTACTACCGCTAATACTACTACCAGAGCTACTACCGCTAATACTACTACCAGAGCTACTACCGGTAATACTACTACCAGAGCTACTACCGGTAATACTACTACCAGAGCTACTATCGCTAATACTACTACCAGAGCTGGAGTGCGAATCTTCTGAATGTACTGAGCACAATTCCACACTTTTCTCTTCAACAAACTTCTCACAACAAAAGCAAAATATACTTTTAATCATCATCATCATCAAGGCTATGAGTATTGAGCACAAACATTCAATCTCATTCTGAAAGACATACAAGAAACAAGTATGCCCAGCAGTCAGGGTTCAAGTTGGGACAGAAATTTAAAGGGAAAGGTGTGCCATTTTCGGGAGTTGATTTCAGTCTTGAATTTATGTTCATGGTCTTCAGAAGTAACAGAAATGTACGAAAATAACAAAATTCCTTTACAAATGCTTCAAACTAGGAATTTTACTATTTTTTTTAGGAATTTTCTATATATCACAGAATATCTTAAATTGACGAATAGTCATTTTAAGATTCAAACGCTGATAATTCTAGACACACATGGATTTGAAGGCTCAAATTTCGACAGTGAGCTGTGAACACTATTACTGATTAGTTTAGCTACAAAAAGAGTTTCTGATATTGAAGTATAATTGGTCAAAAATGGCCTACCTGTCCCTTTAAGGAATTGAGGAAAAGATAAATTTTGGATGTCTTCAGGAGACTTAAATATTATTCCAATTTTTGCATTGTAATGTAGAAGTAGGGGTCAATTAATGGGCCTATAGCAGATAATTTTTCGTCAAAAACACCTGCACAATTGAACTTTAAAACTCATTATAGATAAATCTGTAATTGAAATAGGCATAATAGACAGTGTTGCCATGGAGATGGCTATTTTTCTGGCAGTGATCTCAAAAAATTTCAGGTGAATGGTGTAATGCTATTTTTCTGCCCAAAGACACAATCCCCATATACGTATATGTATAACGTATATCTAGAAAGTTTTAACCCTTGGAATAGCTCAGTCAGGAGCAAGTTGAACTGTCGTCTGTTAGGCGATTTAGTGCCATGGGTAAAAATAGCGATGCCATCGTAATACGCCCACATTTGTAATGGCAGCTAATTTGTCCGGGAGGTTGACAAGAGTTATCAGTAAATGAATGTTTCTGAGAGTGAAATTTTCATATTCCATGGGTTTTGTTTACAGTTTACAATTCAAGAACAAGGGCAATAACTCATAGTAAATATTTTTCGATTCGTCTGATTTTCAATAGGGTTCATCCTTAGGTGATTACAAACACTCACACCAAGTTTCGTCAAAATCCATCAAGAAACCAGCTCTCCATCGTGTCCACAAACAATTCAAGAACAAGGGCAATAACATTAATGTTTGAGCGTATAAAACCCTTCTCAAGGTAAGAAAAAATCTGATGCCTGTGCCTGTGCTTCCGAGAGTAGGCCCAGTGTTGGCTTTGACCCCCTAATACCCATCAAGGAGAAGTTTAAATAGTCATGTCAATATGAGTTGCTAAATCTGATGTTGAACTGGGCACTCTAGTAGGCCTAATTACTGGTCTCAGATGCTAAACTTGTTCAATTGCTTACATTTTCGGCTGTGGTGAAGCTGATCATTTTAGTTTCCTGTAATTAAAGGGGCTACCTGGAACACAGAAGAAGAACATGTAAAGGTTTACAGATATATATTACTAAAGATATAGTCATACAATCATTGATAGTTACTGATCTAGCAGATATTAATTCAGTTCCCTGGCCTATGCAACCCCTTTTAGATTCAGGTTTTAAGCTAGTCCGAAACATCTGCCTCTATTCCAGCCTCTGATGGGTATTTAGACAGTTGTTAGCTGGAATAGAGTCAGAAGAAAAAGACCCTGTTATTGGGATTTTCCACACCTCCAAAAATGCGTTTTCTCTAACATAATATTGAATTACTTTTAAGATAATTGCAGAAAAGTAGGACGTAAAACTCCATTCATTTCATTTCATTTAAGATAATTGTAAATTTAGTGTTGGGAATCACCGTAACTTTCGTTTTTGTTAGTATCATGTGACTCTGTGACCTTTGAACTTTTTGCTGCGCACGCAGTGTCATAGTGAAAAATTAAATTTATTTGGTGCATTCGGAGTTTTCGGACACATATTTTGATGCAAAAACGTATTTTCAATTTGTAAATAATAATTGCTAGGTGGGCATGCACCTCCACTGGTCATTTGCAGCTTGCTTGAGCAAAACATTTGGGTTCGATATGCCTTATTATTATTCAGGCACCCGATTCTTGTCGAAATTCAAAATATAATTATTAAAACAGTACAGTTAATTAACCTAATTTCGTGTGAACCTAATTTCGTCCATCTCCAGATAAATGATTTACCTGTGCATAGGATCTGCGTGACCTCCGCATTTGCATGTTAAACATGAGGCGTTTTTATTCAAGCAAATCGTATCAACTCGTATCGCTTTGACGGCCGATTATCAGCACATTACAGTACATATTAAAGGGACAGATGCGGCATTTTGGGGTTGGTTAGGGGGTTGATTTGAGTCTTCAGAAGTACTAGAAATGTACGAAAATCGAATAATTCCTTTAAAAATATCTTAACTAGGAATTTTACTCACTATTTCTATACCGGTATTTGTCTGTTCTATATCTTAATTCTGGACACACATATGGATTTGAAGGCTCAAATTTCGACTGTGAGCAGTGACACTATTACAGATTGGCTTAGCTAAACAAATTCCCGTCGGTCAAAAAAATGGCCCAGTTAGCTGTCCCTTTAAATCGCCTTAATTAAGATTATTGAACAGTTAACTCTGGCAATGGAATGAAATATTCTCCAGATCTTTCTCTTTGTTTTTGGAAAATTTCAAACGCTGGTAAAAATTATTTTTTGTCTTTTCTCTTACAGGCTGATCCTAGAACCAGTTCTGTTTATTGTCAATGTTGCTCGTCATAATTGAATCTTAATTCGTAACAATAGCGCTGTGAGCCACGATTTAGTCTATTTGATAAGTGCTTTGGCAAATCGCTTAAATTAAAGTGTATTATAGGCAATTCGTTGTAGATGCTTCGCTTATAAAATGCACACTTTGTTCAATGTCAATAAGATTTGCTTAAATAAAAACGCCTTTGAGTAGGACAAAATGGTAAAAAGATTACCTAAAAAATCACGTGATATCTAACTATTAGGGAAATTCCCTTTTGAGCTAATCTCCATTACTCCGTCCTTGGCGGAGTTAACTAAATATTCTTAGAACGTAAGTTCGTGGATAGCTGACATTTGGCTATCTCAGCTGATAACCATATCTTGCGTTTTTACCTCTCACTACATATGAACGGTAGAGGAGGGTGAGGTCAGATGAGCTGGAAGAACAAATGAGCCACACCGTGTCCCTTGATAAGGTAGGAAATATTTTCAACATTGTTTGCAGCTTTTTCTGTTTCGTTCATGACATAACAACTATTTATTGTCTGAGTGAAGTAAAACGTTTTTTGAATTTTATCTTTTATTTGTATGTAAATTGGAAAAACAGTCTCAAAATAATATTGTTTGTCTTAGAATGACTTTGCGTTGTTAAAAATATAAACATAATCACACGTTTTGTCTCAAAAATTTGTTTTTATAGAGGTCCATTTTCAGCCAAAATTTGTGAGTTTTTTTTTGTTGAAATTTCCAGAGGGGAAATGTGTTTCTTTTCAGTGCAAACTTACAAAATATTTTTATGAACGCGAATAAAGCATTGTCAAACTCATTAAACGTAAAGAATGTCATGGTAGGGTATTGGGTAAAATGATCATATCTTTTTGGGGAAATATGAGCCATTTGGCATTAGGAATATCCCAATAATAGGTATTTTCTAATAGAAGTTATCTTGGTATTTTACATCTAAAGGTGTGGGCACACGAGCGGCCTTTGTCTGAGACTAGAGTCTAATCTTGTGTTTCAACGACTGGCACGGGCACACGAGGAGACAAAAATCTCCAGTTGGTCGTTTTCCATCTCGATAATAAAGTGGGAAACACGTAATTGAAAGGAAAAGGAATCTGATTGGATGATGAAACTATCGGAGACAAACTTGTTTGATACTATAAATCCTGTTGGGGATACTGTAATGTTGTCATAAAAGCACGGACACCCGCAAGATTGTACTCAAGATTTGAGTCAGCGACAAATATCTCCGACCAAGACCATTCACTTGCGTACCTAAATATGAGATGTATTTGGCTTTTAGATAACTTTTGTCTATGTTTTGATTTCATATGGACATGATCCCCCCTCCCCACCCCCAAACCCAAAATGGAATTGAAAGACCCACAGACACTGGAATTGGACTTCTTATCATAAATGTCTGTGTATGTACAGTCTGGATAAACAAAAGACTTTTTGACCTTTCTTGATCGGTCACTCATTGGAATTCTGCTGGTAATTCTCTTATAATTTAGCTAATTATGAATTAATTATGGACATGTGAGACAAACTGATATTTTACCAAGTCATTAGAACACCTCTACTTTCTATTCATATAAGTATTAGCATTTTCAATTTCATGAATAAAAATAAGGGAACCCATCTTTAAGGATGTCCCTGCATTAGATTTTCTAACCTGATTTTATAATTTATCACTTTGTATTTTATATCTGTATAATTTTGTACCATAATGTTATAAAACATTTCAGATAGAATGCCTTGAAAAACTCAAATGGTCAGCTTGATTCCATATTGACATGGATTCTACAAGTGGAAATGGAACCGGATGGGCAAACTGGGGTCACAATGATCCTGATAGTGATTCCAGCGTAGAAGAAGATGGAACTGAAGACAGTTCAGACATTTTCCACAGTGCAAAGTCCAATATCAGTTCAACAGAATCTGCCTCTGAAAGTGTAAGTCTCTAGAAATAGCAATAGAATCAGATACTGTGTTGTTCCATCCTCTCTATAGTCGCGTTTACACTGTCATAAAATGGCCCGCTTGAAGTGAACCATACACGGTCTGGACTCGGATGGCCGGTACCATTTACACTGCACTGTTTTCACTTGACTAGAATGGTGAGTCAACAAGTATACACCTGCTCTCCTGTCAGTAGAGGCGAAAAAATGGAGACTTTCAAAATGTAGCCAACCACAAACAAGGCAATGATTTTGAAGTTGCGATTAATAAGGTCACGTTCATAGCGCAAACGATTCTTAAAAATCTCCAATTTTGTTTTTGAGACACAAAGAAGTAAAATAAGCCATTGCAAACATGATGTATTACACTGTTACCTTTATTTGTTTTCGTTAATTTCTTTCATGAACAGTGACTGCTGGTCATACTTGATTCTTGGTTATTTTGCAGGATGAAAATGAATATTTGTGCTGTAGCCAGGATGGTGATAATAAGGAAGGAACTTCTGAAGGGATTCAAGGTATGTTTGGTTTTATATATTCTATTTATTTTTGTAGGTAGCTTAAAAGAAAGGCAGAGATAAGAAAAGCTAAAGATGCTATAGACTTCATGACCTTTAAGGCCCTTCAGAAAGCATTTGGAGGGGGGGTGGGGGGATTGGGGGGGTTGATTTGTGCTAGAACTGACTTTTGACTAATTTCAGGTCTTGCAAGTGACATGTTGCCACATAACAATAGTATTTTGGACACTTCAAATGGAATTGTGGGCATTCCTAATGCCCAGCAAACCAATGTTAATATTCAAAATGTAACCAACTTTAATCATCAACAGTTTATAACAGATGATGAAACAGAGCCTTTATTAAGTAAGTGAGAAATTACATCACAATATAAATATAACATTCTGAGAGCAAAGGAGAAAAAAATAAGAAAATTGGAGTGTACTGAAAAAGTTATAACTAAATGAAATCAACAGGGATTACTTATTTTTATTGACATTAATGAAGAAACATTTATTATTTTAGGGCAAACAGATAAGTTGATGGAGGGTGTAAATTGTTATTTTGATATTTCTAAAACCAAAGCCTGGCAGAGTGTTCTAAACACAGACAAAATAGTGTTTGTGGTTGGCCATTCAGAATCTTTTAAGAGATCGATCTCATTAAAATTTTTTGAGAAATACAGGTCTCGAGTGGAGGTATTTAGATTGAATGGTCCTGAAGATTGGAAGATTTGTTGCAAAAGATCTGAGCCTTTTGCAATTCTCATGGAAGATGCATTTGGACCTCTTGGTTCCAAGTTTGAAAGTATTTCTCACGTAATCAAAAATTTAGCAAGTGATGAAAATTTAAAGGCAGCACTTTTTTTATTGGATCCTTTTTCATTTGAGCGAAACAAAGAAAGTCTTAAAAAGTGCTTTAAGCATAGATTTTCTGATTACGTGGTAAATTTGGAAGAAGAAGATCATTTATTGAGTAAAGATGAAAAACGTGAGATTCTCAAAAAATCTTCAGAACTTGTGAAAACAAACGGTCGCTTTTTGACAAATCAGGATATTGATGACATATTGGGTATGGCAGAAAATCCTATATTTTTAGATACTTGTGAAGAATTTGTTGTTTATGAAAGACACGATGAGAATGTGCTTCAGTTGTTTTCCTTGCCATTGGATTGCCTTATCAATGATATTAAGTATTTGAAAGAAAAATGGCCAGATGGATATTATGTGTTACGTTTAGTTGCATTCCATGAAGTTTTTGATGAATCTGAAAAAGGAGAACTTGCTGAAGTTTTAAGGCAAAGTATTGATGGAAATTTATCACAGATTTTAAATAAATTAGTAGGTTCGTATCTAAAAATCCAAAAGAATGAAGCTGGCGATTCTTCTCCAAAATTTGCCTTCCAGCATCGCATGATGCAATATGCAGTTTTATGTACAGAAACTAATAAGGCGTTCTTGATCAACCATTGTCCCATTGGCTTTTTGGTCGATGTTATAACGCGAATGACTAATATGCGTAAAACTTCGTTTGAAGGTGAAAATCTTAACATTGTTAAACGTTTCATTCAAGAAATTCTGAAAGGAAAGCATGTGGCTACTGTTGTCATCCATGAAATATGGAATTCAGAAGAATTTTTGAAGGATTTCAAGCAAGAATGGGAAAAAGTCAAATGGTTCATGGGTTCAATATGGAGATCTGCCTGTGAATCAAACATTTTGTATCTAGCTGTATTCAACAAATCACCAAAATTGCTGGAGTGGATTTTGAAGGCATGTGAAAAGCAAAACTTTAGAGTGTTATCATCATCATCGTTTCAAAAATCTATATTTGCCACATGTGTCATTGGCCATTTTGAACATTTTAAATTGTTAATGAAACAAATGAAGAATGTTGATAGATTTTGTCAATTAGAATTAGACCACATTTTAACACCAAGCAGAAACACTGAAAATTCCATTATTAATTTTGAAGAAACAAAATGTTATTCAAATATAACACATACAGCTGTAGCTTTTAGTCGACTGGATATTCTTAACTATCTTAAGAGCTGTGGGCAAAATGTGAATTACACAGATAGTCAAGGCTATACCAGTCTTCATGTAGCTTGTCGTTGTGGATCAGATATAGAAATTTTAGAATATTTAAAAGAAAGTAATGGCGATGCTGTTAATGTTAGAGATAAATCTGGCAACACTTGTTTACATGAAGCGTGTTGTGGCTATGACAACATTGAAATTGTGACCTCATTGGTAAAGGATTTTCCAGAGTTACTTTTGAAAAGAAATACATTGGGCCAAACCCCATTACACATTGCAGTTGGGGCTGGCAACATTCAAATTGTGGAATTTCTTATAGAGGATTTAATCAAGTCCCGAAACAATTGTCTTTTAGAAATAGATTCTTCTGGATGTACTGTTTTGCATTTAGCTTGTCAAGTTCAAGACAATTTGCAAATGGTGAAATATTTATTAGAAAGGCAGCCATCTTTGATGACTATTCAAGATCACCATGGTAACACTGCACTCCATGTTGCTTGTCAAACACCAGGCAATACTGGAGTTGTAAAATTAGTAAAAGATTTTCCAGAGTCATTTTTGAAAAGAAATACATTGGGCCAAACCCCATTACACATGGCAGTTGGGGCTGGCGACACTCAAATTGTGGAATTTCTTATAGAGATCTCGAAGAAGCACCAAAACAATTGTCTTTTAGAAATAGATTCTTCTGGATGTACTGTCTTGCATTTAGCTTGTAAAGTTCAAGACAATTTGCAAATGGTGAAATTTTTATTAGAAAGGCAGCCATCTTTGACTACTATTCATGATCACCACGGTGACACTGCACTCCATATTGCTTGTCAAACACCAGGCAACACTGGCGTTGTAGAATTGGTTAAGATTTTTCCAATGTTAGTTTTAGAGAAAAATACATTGGGCCAAACCCCATTACATATAGCAGTTGGGGCTGGCGACACTCAAATTGTGGAATTTCTGATAGAAACTTCGAAAGAGTTCGATGAGAATTGTATTTTAGAAAAAGACAACTCTGGATGTACTGTTTTCGATTTGGCATGTAATTTTCAAATGGCCAATTTCTTACATGAAATTATATCCAGAAATGGTAATTTAAGCTTTTATGGAAGAATTAAGTTGTTTTATTATCAGCTGATTTGGTTGTCATTATACATGATATCCCGGGGCAGGAGGTTTTGTAGAATATGTTATGAGAAAACAGCAAGTTTAATAAATGCTGGGTCGTAAATCAAAGGATACACAACGTCGGAGTACTAAGAGGTTTGTAAAGAGACATAATTAGGAAATCAAACGGGATCAGACAAGGATGTCGGATTATACAGAATGTCTGAATACTCAGATGTCGGATTACACAGAATGTCGGGTTACGCAGGATGTCGGGTTAATACTCAGATGTCAGATATCATAGAGTACACTGTACCTTGAAAAAATATGATTATTTGGGTGTGAAGATTTGAAGGTGGATGTCATTTTTCCCGTAAATCCCATTTTTTATGTAGGAGCGAAAAAATCAAAGCTGGAAAAATGTTTTTCTATATTCAACATTTTCTTTTCATTCTATGAGATATATTTTTTTAAAGCTGATTTATATAGCTTGTTTATATTATAGCCTTCATATATTGATTCTAAATGTTTCTATTGAAAGAGCATAGTTTATTTGAGATATATCAATTTGTATACAGTTAGAGTAAATCATAAGATATCTTGCCAGGCAAGCTAATATAAACCCACTGGCTAATTTGATTTTAAAGATGGGTTCCCTTATTTTCATTGATAAAAATGAAAATGCTAATACTTATATGAATAGGAAGTAAAGGTGTTCTAATGACTTGGAAAAATACCATTTTCTCTCACATGTCCATAATTAATTCATAATTAGCTAAATAAGAAGAGAATTACCAGACTGTACATACATGATAATTCATTAGAAACACCAATTAATCAAATAGTTTGCTTAATTTGACACTAAAAAAATAAGGAAACCCATCTTTAATTAAAAATATTTGGCTTTACAGTAACAATCACCAGTATGAAATATTCAACCTTCAGTCATATATTTCTTTTGAAAAGTTTTGTCAAAATCTGTCCAGAATCGTGCCTTTTAGGCTAATGTTTACGAGCTAAAAATTAAAAGCGTTTTTAAGAACAGGTCAATATCTCGTATAAAATATTTCTTTGATTTTCAACAGGGTTCATAAATAGAAAGCACAATTCTTGACAGATTTTGACAAAACTTGGTGAAATTATTTAACATTTAGTATGAGTTATTGCCCTTGTTCTTGAATACACATTTAACTTTTAGTTTGTAAACACTCTAGAAGGGGAACAAAATTCCATTGACAGTATATACCACGGTCTTTGTTAGACCTACATATTTTGAATCGGCTTAATTTTGACACGTTTGTCCCTTATGACTGTAAACCTTTCAAATAAACACCACAGTAATGATAGCTTTTTCTTTTCTTTTATGTAAAAACATAATTTAGTTTTGAGAATTACCGTACTAATAAAATAAATTCTGTGCTTTCAAGTAGTTGTTCATCTCTAAAATCAAATCAACACACCTACCATCAGTGGCGTAACCACTTGGAATTGGAACTCTTGCAACTTCCAAAAATTTCAGCTTCTCATCCACAGACACCCCAGCGGCACTTGGATTTACTGCCCCTTCTTGCACTCTCCCCACCAACCCCCAAATTAAAAACTCTAGTTACGCCACCGCTTACTAACAGTTACGTTGGTGTGTTTAGGGGGAGAGGGGGGTTTGTTGGGCATTTTACGTGATTTTTTATATATATTATGTCTTTATTTCTCTATATGATATGGCAGCAGAGTCTCAAGAAAAGACGGGATAATTCTAGTGGATTAAATTTCGAAGGTGAGTTGTAAACACTATCACTGATTAGCTAAGCTGAACAATTCCTGTTTCTGAGACTTAAGGTACTGGCTGGCGAACTTGTTCCTTAATCTCATGAGGCGAAAGATTTGTTACGTAATGACCCATTATCACTGATATCTATTTATAGATCAGGGAAATTCTTTTTTTCAAACTTAAAACCTTCCTTAAAGTATAGATTAGGGAGCTGCGGTGGCTCAGTGAGTTAGACGTTTGCTCGCTAACCTGAAGGTCCAGGGTTCAATCCCGGCATAGGTCGAGATAATACCTTTGGATTTCCCGGTTTTCCCCCCTGTCAGTGATGCAGGTAAGAGGGGCTAGTCGTTCGGATGGGGCAATAATCCGAGGCTCCGTGTGCTACAAGCTGTGCACGTTAAAGATCCCTCGACAGTTGGAAATAGAAAAAGAGCAGGCTAATGCCGCTGTCCAGGCAAAATTTCCCTCATTGCACCTGCATGGCGTTGCCCGTCTTTATTAGCCCACATGGTGCAGAAAAGTAGGACGTAAAACCCCATTCATTTCATTTCATTTTTATACGCCCACACGTAAGATGGGCGTATATTGTAATCACCCCGTCGGTCCGTCCGTCCGTTCACATTTGGCTCGTGCTCACTCTACAGGCTACAGTTCTTTATGGATTCTTTTGATTTTTATTATACGCCCACTCGAAAGATGGGCGTATATTGTAATCACCCTGTCGGTCCGTCCGTTCACATTTGGCTCGTGCTCACTCTACAGGCTACAGTTCTTTATGGATTCTTTTGATTTTTATTATACGCCCACTCGAAAGATGGGCGTATATTGTAATCACCCTGTCGGTCCGTCCGTTCACATTTGGCTCGTGCTCACTCTACAGGCTACAATTCTATACGGATTCTTTTGATTTTTATTTTGTGTGTCAATATCATTATGAAGATGATCCCTATTGATTTTCATGATGATCTATTGATTTTCGTGATGATCGGATAATTTTTCACAGAAATATCCTGTCTGACTTGACATTTTACTCTATTGGCTATATTGTGCAATTCGTGCTCACTCTACAAGCTACACTTTTTCACAGATTCTTATGATTTTTATTTTGTATGTCAATGTCATTATGAAGATGATCCCTATTGATTTTCATGATGATCTATCGATTTTCGTGATGATCGGATAATTTTTCACCAAAATATCCTGTCTGACTTGAAATTTTACTCTATTAGCTATATTGTGCAACTCGTGCTCACTCTACAAGCTACAATTTTTTACATTCTTAGATTCTTTTGATTTTGATTTTGTGTGTCAATGTCATTATGAAGATGATAAATATATCGAATTTCATAATACTTACAATCAAAGCTATCTGTGGGCGTATGTCACCTTGCCTAGAAAGCTATATTTGAAGTATAGATTAACTAAATATTAGAGCGTAAGTTCGTAAATCGTTGACCATTGGCTATCTCACATGTCATTTGAACATTGATCCCACTTAAACACTGTTGTCTTGCGTTTTTGCCTCTCATTACATATTAAAGGAAAAACGTCAAAATAAGAAAGAAACATATCCACGGTGTCAAAATTAATTTATCCTTATAACTTCGTCCTTATTTATGAGCATTTTTCAATAATTACTTTGTTTTGTAGACTTATCGGATTATACACATTGGAATTCTGCCATGACACCATCATCAAGTCCACTGTTGGATAAAGATTGGCCAAGTTTGAAAATATAAATTTTATGCTCATTTTGAGAGGCAGTGTTCCTTTAAAGGGATGATAAAGAGGTTTTTCTAAATTTTATTATGTGTACCTGGGACACTGTTACCTTCAATTTCCACCATTCCAATTTACAATCAGAAGTTCCTGCAATTCCTCTAAAACTAAGTGTTTGATGATGTCACTAATCACGAAGAATGTGATACAAGTTTATTTTGCGAATAGTGACGTGACTTACTTAGTTTTAGTGGAACTGCAGGAACCACAAACATCTGATTAAAAAATTAGAATGGTGAAAATTGATGGTATCAGTGTCCCCGATACATGTAAAAAATTTAGAAGAAGCCTTTAAAGGGATTATAGACTAATTATCATTATATATCTATATCCTACGGAGCCCCTAAGGTGCAATTGTAAACATATTTATTTATTATTTCGTTTAAACGAATTAATTATTTCATTAAAACGAATTAATTATTTCATTAAAACGAATTAATTATTTCGTTTAAACGAAATAATTTTTTCGTCTATTTCGTTTAAACGAAATAATTAACCCATCTTTTTATTTCGTTTAAACGAAATATGTTTACAAATGCGCCTTAGGGGCTCCGTAATATCCTTAGTCATTTTTGCCTGTACATTTTTAGAATATATAAAAGTGTGCTTTGTGTTTCAGGTAGACCTCTCATCAACTAGGAAGCTACAATGTTGAGCTTGATTCCGTTGTTAGATTGAGAAACTGAGATCTCAATGATTCTGACAGTGATTCCAACTAAAAAAAACCCCAAAAACTAAAGTCCAATACAATTTTTGCCTAATTCTTTGAATCAACAGAAAGCAAGACTATAAAAAAAAACATTTGGAACTGTAAATCCTGAATCAACATCTATTGGGTCCTAAAATCTGGTGCAAACAGCTTTTGAAACCAAAAGCCAACAGACTAGTCCAAAGCTCCAGCTAGGGTCTTCATTTGATTTTGGTTTGAGACAGAGCAGACCTTCTAGACCACCCTTTACTCCTTCTTCCAAAGCAAGTTCCCCAAGGGAGATAAATACCAACAGGTTTAAAGAAAAACTTGGGAATATGGACGCAACAGATTTTAGGAACTACGATGTACACGGTCTATATTCTACTGGTCCTCGTGATGAATCTGAAAATTACGATGGATCATCAACAGAGTTTCCTTGCGATGCTGGTCATCTTGAAGAATCTGAAAACTCCAATGGTGCTTCAGCAGTAAATGCTTCAAACAACTTCGACACTCAGGGTGTTTTGGATCGGGTTAGTGAAAAATGTGGCTCTTCATGTGACAGTTACCATAGTGACAGCCCTGGTAAGTTCTAAACAGTCACTGCCTTGTACAGCTTGATCTCTCAAAGGTATTAGAGTTTTTGTCTATGAACCTTTGATGCCAATGATCTTAAAGTAAAGCTATATATATTGTTTACAGTTTTTAGGCTAAGGGCTCTGATTGAATACAATCCACTCAAATTGCTGCATTTGCATACTTCAGTGAAACAAGAAAAGTGTCGAATCGTGTCAAGGTACTAGACTGAGTTCATAATAGCTTGAAATTCTATCAGATGCTGAAGACTTCATGACTTTTAATTAAGCAAAATGTACTAAGAAAAATACCAATATTTTCGCATCAGAGCATGTATTTTGGGATATTTTTGCCTTCTTTCAGTGTTTATTCTTTGGAATTTTGTCGTACCAACTGTCGTTCAAATTTGAAATGAGGACACAAGTGGTATATTTTTGTTGAATCGTAGTAGAAAAGTATGTCAGAAAGTGATTTTCAAGCTAGACATGGATAGCAGAAGTTCAGCTGGTAGAGCTTAGATGACTATCACTTGATTTTGTTTCTAATTTTAGATTCTGACAGAAGCATGGTGCCATTTAACAATGATATTTTTAACTCTTCAAATGGAATTGTGGGGATTCTTAATCCTAATGTTAATATTGGAAAAGCAACCAACTTAACTTATCAACAGTTTATAACAGATGATGGAACTGAGCTTCTACCAGGTAAGTGGGGAATACAGCAAAATATAGACATTACTGTTAACAGGCAAAGTCTGTCTTCATTAGGTGCAGAAAAGTAGGATGTAAAACTCGATTCATTTCATTTCATTTTTACAAGCAAAGTGAATTTTATGCTAAAAAAAACAAAAACCAAGGGGTAGCTCGATTGGTCAGTTCTGAACATTCTGGATTCATGAAATCAACTGGATGTTCAATTTAACAAGTTGGAACAGAGTTCAGAACACGTTCCACATGTTAGGAGGTGTAGACAGAATTCAAAATGGTGAAGAACAAAAAGATAGGAAAATTTTGAATGTGACATATCAGCTTTGATACTGTTTGATTGAGACCAGAATTGGAACAGTTCAATTAGAACTCTCCAATGAAGCCTCATCCTCAGTCCAGTTGCCAGGAATGAATTGGTGCCGGGGCTCAGATTTTGAAGGATTAAAGCCCAGAGATATCATTTCTGACAATTTTGAGGTGCCAAAAATGTATCAAAATCTAAATTTTTTTTGATTTTGTACAAAGACACTGTAAATGAATCAATCTCTGCTGAATTGAAGAAGGTTTTGCTAGTGCTTAATTCTCACTTGCTGGAGCCCAGCCCCCATGGACCCTACGCTAACGAAGGGGCTAGCCACCCTAATAAATTTCATAAAATGGGGTGAGTTCGGATTTAGCTCAGGTGTGCTTCTTGAGTCACAAGCAAACAGTTATATTTTTTAGAGTAGAAACTCCTGTGATATTATATTTGACCTAATAAGAAGCTTGGTCTGACCATTGCAAGAGTCCTACACACGGAAACATAGTCACCAGGAAAACTTCTATATGGTTAAAAATGCCACCATATTGACTGAATCAATCAAATTCCATGACGCCTCTCACTTGACATGGGCACTGGTGATAATGACATCATTTTCCCACTCCCATCGCCCCAACCTCCATTTCTATTGCACGCGAGTATGTTAAATTTTGGGTTATGGATTATTTGTATTTATTATTTTAGAACTCACAGATAAGTTGATGGAGGATGTAAATTGTTATTTTGATATTTCTGAAACCAAAGCCTGGCAGAGTGTTCTAAACACAGACAAAATAGCGTTTGTGGTTGGCCATTCAGAATCTTTTAAGAGATCGATCTCATTACAATTTTACGAGAAATACAGGTCTCGAGTTGATGTATTTAAATTGGATGGTACTGAAGATTGGAAGATTTTTTACAAGAGATCAGAGCCTTTTGCAATTTTCATGGAAGATGCTTTTGGACCTCTTGGTACCGAGTTTCCTGGTATTACTCTGCTAATCAAAAATCATTCAACCTTTCAAAATTTAGAGGCAGCACTTTTTACGATGAGTCCTCTTTCATTCGAACGAAACAAAGAAAATCTTAAAAAGTGCATGAAACGTGAATTGTCTGATTACGTTGTCCATTTGGAAAAAGAAGATATATTGAGTGAAGATGATAAACGTGTAATTCTGAAAAAGTCTTTCGAACTTGTGAAAGATAATGGTCGCTCTTTGAAAAAAACGAACAATGACGGAACAATTTGTTTTGAAAATTTTATTGATGACATATTGGGTATGGCAGAAAATCCTATATTTTTAGATACTTGTGAAGAATTTGTTGTTTATGAAAGACACGATGAGAATGTGCTTCAATTTTTTTCCTTGCCATTGGATTGCTTTATCAATGATATTAAGTATTTGAAAGAAAAATGGCCAGATGGATATCATGTGTTACGTTTAGTTGCAAGTTTTTGATGAATCTGAAAAAGGAGAACTTGCTGAAGTTTTAAGGCAAAGCATTGATGGAAATTTATCACAGATTTTAAATAAATTAGTAGGTTCGTATCTAAAAATCCAAAAGAATGAAGCTGACGATTCTTCTCCAAAATTTGCCTTCCAGCATCGCATGATGCAATATGCAGTTTTATGTACAGAAACTGATAAGGCGTTCTTGATCAAACATTGTCCCATTGGCTTTTTGGTCGATGTCGTAGCGAAAATGACTAATATGCGTAAAACTTCGTTTGAACGTGAAAATTGTAGCATTGTTAAACGTTTCATTCAAGAAATTCTGAAAGGAAAGCATGTGGCTTCTGTTGTCTTCCATGAAATATGGAATTCAGAAGAATTTGTGGATGACTTCAATCAGGAACTGAAAACAGAAGAAAAGCTGTCCATTATTTCAAATTTGGGATCTGCCTGTAAATCAAACGTTTTATATCTAGCTGTTTTCAACAAATCACCAAAATTGCTGGAGTGGATTTTGAAGACATGTAAAGAACAAAACTTTAGAGTGTTAACATCATTGTTTACAAAAGCTGTATTTGCCATTTGCTTTTGTCAATCGAAATTTAATGACCACATTTTAACACCAAGAAAAAACATTGAAAATTCAGAAATTGTTTTTGATGTAGTGGAATGTGACAATTCTATCAAAGGTATAGCTACAAATTTGAAAATGTGGGACATTTTAAACTACATAGAGATGTGGACCAATCAATGTTAAAGGGGCATTCCATTTTTTTTGTAGGTCAAAAAATAGTTTTGCTGTGGTATGTTTAGGATGAACCCTATCAAAAATATTTTTGATGGATCTTGATGAAATTTGGTGTTAAGAGTGAAGAAGTTCCTATTTGGTGTGAGTTTAATCGCCCAAGGATGAACCCTATATAATATAAAAAAAAAAAAAAAATATTTAGTATGGGTTCTGCCCTTGTATTCTTGTATTATAAAGAGTGTCTATTCTCTATTAAATGTATTTGTTGATTTGTATTCTGTTAATATTTGTATTATATAAAGAGTGTCTATTCTCTATAAAATGTATTTGTTGATTTGTATTCTGTTAATATTTGTATTATATAAAGAGTGTCTATTCTCTATTAAATGTATTTGTTGATTTGTATTCTGTTAATATTTGTATTATATAAAGAGTGTCTATTCTCTATTAAATGTATTTGTTGATTTGTATTCTGTTAATATTTGTATGATAAAAAGAGTGTCTATTCTCTATAAAATGTATTTGTTGATTTGTATTCTGTTAATATTTGTATGATAAAAAGAGTGTCTATTCTCTATTAAATGTATTTGTTGATTTGTATTCTGTTAATATTTGTATTAAATAAAGAGTGTCTATTCTCTATAAAATGTATTTGTAGATTTGTATTCTGTTAATATTTGTATTATATAAAGAGTGTCTATTCTCTATTAAATTATTTGTTGATTTGTATTATGTTAATATTTGTATGATATAAAGAGTGTCTATTCTTTATTAAATGTATTTGTTGATTTGTATTCTGTCAATATTTGTATTATATAAAGAGTGTCTATTCTCTATAAAATGTATTTGTTGATTTGTATTCTGTTAATATTTGTATGATATAAAGAGTGTCTATTAAATGTATTTGTTGATTTGTATTTTGTTAATATTTGTATGACATAAAGAGTGTCTATTCTCTATTAAATTATTTGTTGATTTGTAGTCTGTTAATATTTGTATGACATAAAGAGTGTCTTTTCTCTATTAAATGTATTTGTTGATTTGTAGTCTGTTAATATTTGTATGATATAAAGAGTGTCTATTAAATGTATTTGTTGATTTGTATTTTGTTAATATTTGTATTATATAAAGAGTGTCTATTTTCATTTAATTTATTTGTAGATTTGTAGTCTGTTAATATTTGTATTATATAAAGAGTGTCTATTCTCTATTAAATTATTTGTTGATTTGTATTCTGTTAATATTTGTATGACATAAAGAGTGTCTATTCTCTATTAAATCATTTGTAGATTTGTAGTCTGTTAATATTTGTTTTATATAAAGTGTGTCTATTCTCTATAAAATGTATTTGTTGATTTGTAGTCTGTTAATATTTGTATTATATAAAGAGTGTCTATTCTCTATTAAATCATTTGTAGATTTGTAGTCTGTTAATATTTGTTTTATATAAAGAGTGTCTATTTTCTAGGAGATGTATTTATTTATGACTAGTTTGTAATTTTAGCTTTCCAATGCCACAACTGTGGTACAGTGACTAAAGACCAAGCCTTGGTTGGGTACCAAGGGTCTTATTTTAGATTTTAGAAAGCGGTGTTATTTTATGCATATTAAAGACCCCAACATAGTTGAGCTGCAGGTGTCATTTCAAAATTTTCCTCATTGCACACCTCCTAGTCTATCCAAATCTTCATTGGACATATAAGATGCACTTCAACTTCAAGGATAATATGCTTATTTTTTTGTCACAGAAATGCCAAGGACATTGTTAAACCAACATGTTTTTTCGTTTGTCTATGGTCTGTAAGCTTATGCAACAAAATTGTCAATTATTTTACTTGAAAACATTACCTGTATGTGTTTCCAAACGTAGTATGTAATAAAACTAGAAGTAGTATATCCATATAACTTGAGTTGTTAATGTTTACCTTCTTGCTTCTATATGTCTTACAAAGATTATAACTCTGAATTATGTTAAGAAAATATTTTATAGACAATACATGTTGATGGTAAGCATACAAGATAGTAGGGTGCGCTCGATTGGTAACTTCTGAACATGTTCTTTCCTTCTCTGCCATTTTGAATTCAGTCTACACTGACACAACTATTTTATAACTTGTCTTATTGAACTGTTGATTCTATAAATCAAGAACATGCAGGACTCACCAATCGAGCGGCCCCCAGGTGAAATATTATACACTATGACTAATTACAATATCCATTATATTTACATACTTGAAATAATAGTTTGCCAGGTAAGGTAAGATACATCCACTGGCAGCTTTGATTTTGAATAAAAATATTTAGCAGTACAGTAACAATTACCAGTATGAAATATTCAACCTTCAGTCATACACATCTTTTGAACTTTTTAGGGTGATAATGAACAATATTACCAAGTTTTGTCAAAATCCAGCAAGAATTGTGCCTTCAGGAGTGTAAACAGGCTAAAAATTGAATGCTAGTGACTGACGGACCGACGGATGAACATGGGTGACGCCAATATACGTTCCACATTTCATCTGGTTGTATCAAAATTATCACTTTGGCCAGAAAAATAAAGGAAGTCCAGGATTCCTGTGGTAGGCTTGTTTTGATTGTAGATAAACTAAATGTCTTGCATGATGTTTGAAAGGTGATACAGAAAGCTGAAAATGATCTCCGTTTTTACTCATACTTTTATCTGTACATCAAATGTATTTTTTCATACCAATTGCTGGTAGATCTAAGATTGATTTTTCTAAGAAATTTGATGGGATCATTTTCTAAGAAATGTGATTGGATCATTTTCTAAGAAATTTGAAGGGACAGATTTGCCATCCGTCTGACCAATCGTACCTTAGTGTCAGAAACTGAAATTTTTAGCTTAGCTGATCAGTAATAGTGTTCACCGTTGAAATCTAAGTATGTACAGAATAATCTGAGTTTAATAGTTAAAATGATGACTCATCTTCTAACTCTGCCATATGATATATAGAGAAACATATATAGAAATAGAAAGTGAAATTCCTAATTTGAGATATTTTTAAAGGAATTATGTGAATTTCTTATATTTCTGAAGACTCTTTACATATACTTGAGACACAGATCAACCCTTGAAAATAGTGAATCTGTCCCTTTAAATTGTCTATATTTATTATTTACAAAAAAGTTATTAAATAATCTTGAATTGCACCAAATAGTTGTATCCATAAAAATGATATATCGGGTGGCCCAAAAAAAAACAAATGGTAACACTTTTCATTCCAGATTATTATTCTTGAAATTTTTGACAACGAATTTTAAAGATAACTTCCCGAGCTAGGTAATATATGCCCACTACCAGCTGTCAGAAATGATAACAAAATATTTAATCACTTAATAATGAATTTTCAAAATATCAAAAGTCAAAGCAAAACTTCAAAAACAGTTCCAAGGTCTCATTGGCAATAACTCTAAAACTGTTCATCCGATTATTGCCAATTTCGAACTCGACTGAGATCTCATCATTATATACTTCCTTCCCTAGTTTCATCAAGATCCATTAGAAACTGAAGTCTCTATTGTGCCTAAAAGCCAAATTTGACAGGTTTTTACTCAGTCAAGGGCAAGGGCAATAACTCTGAAACCGTTCATCTGATTATTACCAAATTCAAGCTTGACTGAGATCTCATCAATATATACATGCATACAAAGTTTCATCTAGATGAGATAAAAACTAGTCTCTATCGTGCATACAAAATATGTGGACAGATGGACTGACAGGGGCAATGGCAATATACCTCCACATTTTTAAGTGGGCGTATAAAAATCCTGCCATTTCAAAGTGTTTCAAACTATGAAGGTAATTTTTTGTAAAAAGATGTCTTATATATTGATAATTAAGAAGTCAAAATTTTTTTGATCTTAGCTTTGATTTGATAAAAAAAAACTTGAAATGAAAAGAGTTATCGTTTTTTTTTGTCCACCCAGTATATATTGCCAATGCTGATATGATGTATTCTATATATACAAATTCTAGATTACTTACAAGTTAAATATTCAGATTAAAATGAATTTGATGGAATGGACAAAAGGTTTCTACATAATTTGCACCAAGATCTCTTGCCGCCAAACTAAATACAAAATTATTTACAGTTAAAGGGATTGTTAAGAGATTTCTAAAATTTGTTATGTGTATCGGGGACACTGGTATCATCAATTTGTTCCATTCCAATTTTCAATCAGACATCTGTGGTTCCTGCAATTCCACTAAAATTAAGTGTTTGATGACATCACTAATCCCAAAATATGCTTTATCACATTAAGTTCTTTCCATTAGTGACATCATCAAATACTGGAATTGCAGGAAACACAGATGTTTGATGGAAAATTGGAATGGTGCAAATCAATGCTATCAGTGTCCCCCATACACATAAAATCTCTTTATAATCCCTTTAAAACATTTACATAATAATGAGGTTAATTCTGGTAAAAGCAATTAAGAGTTTTGAATACAAAATCATTAAAATGCCAAAGAAATATAATGGTTCTTATATTTTCTCTACAGCCCAATAGCAAGTTTCAAAATTAATGTCCTGCATTTGTTCTTGTTAAATTATAGAAAAATTGGGTGCGAACTGTCAATTCTGAAAGTGACACAGATGGGTGAAGTTGAGCTCTATCAGCTGATAAGGCAAATATCTTGGTGACCATGTCCTTTCTTTACACATTAAGGCCATTGTTTACAGTATTTTGATTATCAAAACTCTACTCTAAACTAGATTTTACTTGATATCTATTCACTCTTGGATGGTTCTGGACCAAAACATCTACCTCTATTTCAGCCTCAGTGCAGAAAAGTAGGACGTAAAAGTCCATTCATTTCATTTCTTTTCTTTTCTATTTCAGCCTCTGATAGCTATTTTGAAAATTGTCAGCTGGTGTAGGGACAGAAAAACTAGGCCTTGTTTTATGGGGATTTTTCCGCACCTCTAAAGGTGCAGACTTTTTAAACCTATTTATTTAAATCAGACTCACCAAACCCAAATATATTCCAGCCGTTAACTGTCAAAATATCCATCAGAAGCTGGAATAGAGGTAGATGTTTCAGACTAGGATGGGTCAAATCACAATTAGGACCAGTCTATTATTTTCAGGTAGAATAAGGTAATAGAAAAAATACAAGTATACATACACATATTGTGTTCATTACTACCTAAACTACCTCAAATTCAAAATAATATGGACTGCTTCAATTTCTGTCCCTGGAGGTCCAGGGTTCAGTCCTGGCAGATAATACCTTCGGATTTTCCAACCCGGTTTCCCTCTGACATGGAAAAGGCTTCTAGTCGTTCGGATGGGACAATAAACCGAGGCTTATCCTACAGGCTGTGCATGTTAAAGATCCCTCGACAGTTAGAAATCGAAAAAGAGCAGGCTAATGCCGCTGTCCTGGCAAAATTTCCCTCATTGCACCCTGCATGGCGTTGCCCGTCTTCATTAGCCCACATGGTGCAGAAAAGTAGGACGTAAAACTCCATTCATTTCATTTCAATTTCTGTTCTGAATCATCCTTGGACGTTCACAAATAATTTTGTTAAACAATACAATTTAAATACAAAGATTCTGAGGTTTAAATTCCTCCATTAATCATACCCTTTGCTGCCCTATTCAAAATAAATCACATCTTAAAAGATAAAAATAATCATAAAAACAAAGATTTTATACATAATTTATACTAAGTCTAAAACTCCATGATTGATGATGCTTATTTTCAACAGATGTCAGACAGCTAGAATAAGAAAAACTAGTCCACAAGGATGTGGTTATTCGCATCGTGAGTTGGATGTTTGCCTACTCGGTGATAAGGTGCCATGGGCTCGAATCCTCCTGAAGTTAAAATAAATTCTGATGCCTGTGTGTGCGAGTGTTTTACAATCAAAATGGCTTCACTCTTTAAGAAAAAAAAAAAAGCACACCGATTGGCAGTTTTTCTGTCTCCAGTTGGCTGACATTTTTCAAAAAATAATCAAGTAACATGGGAAGATAAAGGTAAATAAAAATCTCAATCTAAAATGACAACATTCTCTTAATCAATTTCCCACTTATCCTGCCAAAAATTCATTTAATATCAACTTCAAACCACTACACAAATGTATATTTTTGTGGGATTGGTTTGGATTTGTCTCCAACTAATCTGGCCAATACATTAAAATAATATCTACTTACAGGATTGGTTTGGATTCGATTTTCAACAAATTCCGCCAATATATAAAAAAAATCTTAAACTTCAATCACTACACAATTGTACATTTTTGTGGGATTGGTTTGGATTCGATTTTCAACTAATCCTGCCAAAATATCAAAAACCTTAACCTTCAATCACAATAGATGTGGCACTTTTTGCAGGATTGGTTTTCAAATTAACATAATTTTATAATAAAATTCCATGATGCACCAATCTGCTGCCAAGCTCAAAACTCAAGCTCGAAAATAAAATGGATTAAACACTAAGAGGATGCTAAAGGCCTTTCATTTTCTCTTCCATCAGAGGCACTTTTTCTTCATCATCATCAATCCATAGCCTTAACTCTTTCTTCGTTCTGAAATGAAGGAATTAAAACAGTCTAATTAAAACTAGACCAAACTTCTGTTCTGTTTTTTATTAGATTTTATTTTTAATGTAGCTAATGTAGGTTAGGGTCTGAAGACAGCCCACTTGAACATTCAAGTTCATTCCAAATATCAAGAATCACTTACTTTCCATATTGAGATCGTTTTTCATTCAGACGTAAATCAGCGCCATCTGGGTCATCCATCATTTCAACCAATTGCATTTCATTATTCGAATCAATAGGACCAATAGAAATGTCCCGTACGGCTCGAAACTGACCGCAGTTATTTAAATGTTCATTCTCCAGACGGAAAAAGTTCCACACAAATCTCCTGAAAAATGGAAAAAAGAATGAAATCTTAGCGAATACAGCCAATCAGAGCCCTCAACAAAAAGGCTGTAAACATTATGGCGTCATGTTCACAGGCTTTCTGTTGATACCTATGATTGGCTGTATATACTTGTGTACAATCCAATCAAATTAGTTCATTTACAAACTTCCATAATACATAAAAAGTTGGCTATTATAGTCAAGGTATAAGTACGAAGTTTGTAATAGCTTGACATCGTGAAGATGGACTTTGGCTTACCTGAATACTTCGAATGAAGCCAATAATGTAGTTAATATTTCATTATGAAATAATAAACCCTCGCCTACAGACACAGTTAACGACCAGGCAAATCTCAATATAAAATCTTCTACTATTGCAAAATAATAGTAGGCCTAAAATATAGAAATGGATTATCATAAAAATAATAGTAGGCCTACAATATAGAAATGGATTATAAAAATAATGGTATGCATAAAATATAGAAATGGATTATCATAAAGTATGCATCAAATACAGACATAGATTTTTAAAAAGTATAACAGTATGCATAAAATAAAAAATATGGTAAACGGACATGGATTATCATGAAAAAATAACAGAATGTCTAAATTAAGTATGAAGATTGTCATACAAAATAGAAACAAACTCCAGATCTACATGTTTCCCTTTCCTTTGTTTGTGGGTAGTTTCACTCCCCATCTATGATCTAACAAAATTATTCCTTAAAAAGAGTTCAGTTGAATTTTGACACTCACCTTAAATGCGTAAACTATTTCTTCTCGTAAGTACTTATTTTCCCCAGCGTTTTTATCAAACAGACCCCAATCCATTTTAATATCCCAAGTATAGGTGTAGCACGAGCTGAGGAGAGCACACACAATCCACAGATAGTAAAACACGCTGGTCTGACGCATACTGTCACCATAGATCTCTGAAATGAAATGAAACGGAACAAAATGAAGCAAAGTGAAATGAAGCAAATTGAAATGAAATAAAATTGAGCAAAGTGCATCGAAAAAAAAAAATTAAATGAAGGGAAATGAAATAAAAATGGAGCCAAATTCATTGAAACAAAATGAAATGAAATGAAATGAAACTAAATGAAGCATATTGAAACGAAAAGAAGCGATAAGAAATGCATTGAAACGAAATGAAGCAAAGCCAAATGAAATGAAGAAAAATGAAATGAAACGAAACAAAATGAATGAAACGAAATGAAGCAAAATGAAATGAAACGAAATGAAGCCAAATGAAATGAAGAAAAATGAAATGAAATGAAGCAAAATGAAATGAAACGAAATGAAGCCAAATGAAATGAATAAAAATGAAAAAAAAAGAGTTTTGTACCCTTCTCTTTTACATCTTATTTTGCAAAAATTCTAAGAGTCATGTAAATTTATGTCCTACTTTTCTGCTCTCAATCACCGTAATAAAACTGCAATGCTATGCAGTATGCAATAAGGGACATTTTGCCATAACGATAGCATTACCTTACTCTTTTTCAATTTCCAATGCTAAGAATCTTATATAGAGCATAACTATTAGTAGCACTCGTTGAAAGCTCCTTATTTTCAAAAGATATTCTGTAATTGAATAAAGCAGAGGTCATCAGGTTTGGTCAAAAGGTTATTATGTTCAAGAGGGCCATCATTAGACCCTAACTTTAGGCTACATTAAAATTTAAGGCTAAAAAGTATAACTAGATTATGCTACTTTCATTTTCACTGACCTTTATGTACTTTATATAGAGTAGAAAATAACATAACAAAGAAAGTGGTAGAGTATTTGCCAGCATTGACTATGTGTGGAAATACCAATTTCGTGTCTCGGTACCGTCGCAGGCATTGAGCAAACCGGAACCATGCAGGAAGACAACCGACGACAGCTCTAATACCATAGATATTCTTAGTACATACACTAGGTTCTGAAAAAAAATGGATGTAAAAATTGGTTTGGATTTCTGTGCGGTAAGCCATGATATAATAGACCTTCTCTTAAGCCGTCAAGGGGAATTGAGATCGTTGAAAAATGTCCGACTGACAACAAAAACAGCCGTGGGCAAGAGTACTCATCAAGGTAATAAAAATTCTGATGCCTGTGCCAGTGCTTCCGAGAGTCGTCTCAAAAAGTATGTAAGCTAATGGAGGATTTTAGTTTCACCTAAACTTTTAACTTTTCTGTTCCATATTGGACAAATGAAGACAGGCAACACCGTGCAGTGTGCAATGAGAGACAGCGGTGAAGGCTACTTTTCGATTTCCAACTGTCAAGGGATCTTTAACGTGCACAAAATGAAATGACATTATTGGAGTTTTTCTGCACCTAATTTGGCTAATGAAGATGGGCAATGCCATGCAGTGTGCAATGCGGGTAATTTTGCCAGGGGAGTAGCATAAGCCTCAGTTTAATGCTTTTTATCAGTACCTGCATCACCGACAAGGAGAAACTGGGTAAGAATTTTGTTTTAAAAAGAGATACAGGTAGCTCAAAACTTCTGATGCTGATGCTGATGCAGCATTAGAGAACTTCAAAGAACTTACGTTGTTCTCCTATCCAGTCCACCTCGAAAGCAAAATAACACACCAGATATTCAAAATCTAAGAGAACTGTAACTAAACTATTTAACTGATCAGCCAGCCAGAAATCAGCGAAACCCACATGATGAAAAGGGGCAGTACAAATACGAAACTGAAAAAAAAATTCACTTAAAGTCAAATCAAGTATGCATCCTGAACAATCTTGGTGGAGGATTTTTGTGGCTGACTCGAATCTTGAGTAAAATCTTGCATGTGCCTGTGCTTCCATGACAAAGCTATTGTGTCAGCGACATAGATTTGATTTGATAAAGTTTGATAATGGTCTCCGATTGTTTTATCGTCTTCAACTTCAAGACAGACTGTCATCATCCAATCAGATTCCTTTTCCTTTCAATTGAATGCTCCGTATCGTATCGACAAGGTGGAAAACAACCGAATGGCGATTTGTGTCTCCTTGTGTGCATGTGCCAGTCAGTGAAACTCTTGACAAGATTCCAGTCGGTGCCAAAAATCGCAGACCATGCGTGTGCTTGCGCACCTTTGGACATCAATTTGGTCAAAAGCAATGTTTATCATCAAACTAGAAATTCCATCTAAAACAACATTACTTATAATGGAATGAAGCTTTTCTGCCTACTTTTCTGTTTCTGTTTAGGCTAATGAATGTCATGCTCTGTGCAATGAGGGAAATTTTTCACAGCACCACTGCATTATCCTACCCTTTTCTGATTTAAAACTGTAAGAAAAATGAAAATTTCAAACTTACCAAAACTCTGAGGAGCCACATTCGAGCTCGATAATGTAGAAATTTAAAAGGGTTAATGAGATAGAGAAGTAAGAAGACTGCCATTGTTAGTGGATGAGCCATAGCAGGTATACTAATATAGTCACTGAATAAATAACCTAGCACACTACATGCCCACAGCACTGCTAAAAACGACGCTAACTGTAAAATAAAACAATGTCTTGTTTTGGGGACAGACTGTAGCCCAGTCTGATAGAGTGTTGGAATATTCACTTGACATCATTTGCTTGATTATGTCAAAATAGTCTGTGAATAAATAACCTAAAACTCTTCATGCCCACAGCACTACTAATGTCTTATTTTGGGGATAGACTGTAGCGCATTCATTTAGAGCATTGGAATATTAACATGACATCATTTGCTCAAAATAGTCACTGAATAAATATCCGAAAACACAACGCAGCACTGCTACAAAGGACGCCAACTGAAGAGTCCTAATGGAAGAGTTGACCTTCCAGACTTTCACAAGATAACCAAAATTAGAATCCATGACCACCATTTACTCAACTTGTGCTTGATTTTGAATAGGCATGAAAATAAGGATGGGCTATAGTTCAGTTGGTTAGAGCGTTGGAATATTTACGTGATGTCATTTGCTTGGTTACGTCCAACAAATCATGGTCAAGCAATCTAATTTCAGTCAGCATGACTGATAAAGAAGTCATAAAATGCTTAGTTTTAGTTGAATTGCAACTACAGATGTCTGATTGAAAATTGGAATGATGTAAATTGATGCTATCAGTGTCCCTGATACACATAAATATTTTAGAAAACCTCTTTACAATCACTTGAAGTAACATTTTGCAGGTGCAAAGGACGTAATCCAAGGGAGACAACCTACCTCTAATAATTGAGCATGTGATAAATGATGTCGCGGGTCAATTTCGAATATTAAAACATGATTGACACCTGATGATCTCCACCCATATGTATTAACACCCAATAAAAACAGGTCAAATATCAATAGGAACATCCCCCTATACATTCGTAATGCTGGTTCCCATGTATCTGTATGGTCGGTGAAAATTGCTGAAAATGAACACAGAAAGACATTGTAGGCAAAATAAGGCAAGAGCGATGGTGAAATAATCACCATGTAGTGTACAATGAGGGAAACCATAAAATTTCACATCTAAATTGGTTTGCATCAACATCAGATAGAAAGCAGTTTCAATTGCACCTACTGTATCACTTTTTAATTTAAAAATGTGAAGCCTGTAAATCGGATTAAAATGAAAACAGTCTTACCAGCAATTATAACAACGACAATTAAAATCCCAAACATTCCTAAAAACAATCCCACACGAAAATTGGTCCATGGATGTTGCTGAAAAAGAAATCACTAAAATAAGAACAATTTTGTCAGGACTGTGATAGCAACACAATGCAGTATGCAATAAGGTAAAAAAATTCAACAGCAGCACCCATTCAACCACTCCCAAATACCAACAGACCTTATAAGATACATAGTCTATAACGCAATGGCCCTTGGTTTTGGAAAATGAATGACTGGATGCAGTTCCTGCAATAATTAAGCAGAAAAGAATTACCTGATCTCCAAGAGGAGGAACTCGCAGCCTTTTCATAGCTTTCTGTCTATTTCCACCTTCTAATTCCGATGTTACACTTTGCTACAAGAAAGCAAAATTCTATAATACATTTGAAAAAAAATACCACCAAAAATTACCTCAAAATGTATATATATATAATTTTTTTTTTACATAATCACTGTAATTCTCATGAAAACTGGAGTAAATATTTTGATGTCAAGCTATTACCAACTGTGTCTTATACCTTGACTGTAATAACCACTATTCTTGTATCACAGAATCACTGATTTGGTTCGATTGTACACCAGCTAATACAGCCAATCAGAGCCCTTGACAGGAAGTCTGTAACCAATAAGCTATAATACCGTATTACAAGAATAGTGGTTATTGCAGTCAAGGTATAAGACACAGCTTGTAATAGCTTGACATTGTGATGTTTTGAATATAGAAAGCAAGTATTGTACACGTGTAGTATAATGAAAAATTTTTGATCAAAACTTACTTCTGTGTCTTTAATGAGATGGTCTACCTCTTTATTTGTAAAAAATGGCGCCGATTCCACATGTGTCTGCCTCCACTCCATTCCATGGTTCGTCTGCATCAACTGAAATAGATCAACACAGCACCATAAGGGGGAACCATCTCATGTGAAAAAGTCTTAAAGATGGGTTTCCTTATTTTTTAGAGTCAACTTAAGCAAACTATTTGATTAATTGGTGTTTCTAATGAATTATCATGTATTCTTAATCATATCATTATGTTCTTATTGCATATAATTAAGAGTTTTAACCAATCATAAATGTTCATGTATGTACAGTCTGGATATACAAAAAAAAGACTTTTTGACCTTTCTTGATCGATCACTCCTTGGAATTCTGCTGGTAATTCTCTTCTAATTGAGCTAATTATGAATTAATTATAGACATGTGAGACAAACTGGTATTTTTCCAAGTCATTTGAACACCTCTACTTTCTATTCATATAAATATTAGCATTTCCGTTTTCAGAAATGTAAATGAGGGAACCCATCTTTAAAGCTATTTGGATAAAGTGATCCACTGTTCAAAATGAAAATATCTTACCTTGTCTCTTTTCTTCAAGATTTTTCTAAAGCCAGTAAAATTTAAAGTTTGATAATTTTGTAATAAAATTAAACTCAGATAGAATTCACTAAAAGCTAATTTTAAATCGTGAAGTTTTCGAGTGTGGGCCACGCCCTGTGCTTCTTTTTCTTTAAATAATCCATACACGCTAGTTCTCCGTTTCCGTAGCGACGCATGATGATGATGACTTTTGGAATCGTGTTCCATATAAACGTTGAGTTCTGCTTTGAGGTTGGCATATTTCCGATTGGCTTCTGATAACTTTTCTGAAATGGGAAGTAATAAATTTCAACAATTTGAATGCAAAAATATCTTAAATTGATGAGTCGTCATTTTAACATTCAAACGCAGATAATTCTGGACACACATGGATTTGAAGGCTCAAATTTCGATGATGGCCTGTGAAGACTATTACTGATTATGTAAGGTAAAAAAATTCCTGTTTCTGAGACTATGGCATGATTGGTCAAAAAAAAAAATGGTGCACCTGTCCCTATCAAATTGATGCAAAACACATTCATTAAAATCATATTTGGTTCTTTTTTGCTTGAATTTCTAAAATTCTTACCTAAAAAGAATGTGTTGATTTTGCTTAATTCAGCATCACAGAACTGAAAAAACTTTTCATCAAAACGAGCAAAAAATCTCTGAATCGTGCTGTTATCAGTTACTGAAATATACAAACAAATTTACAACCTTATACCAAGTATTTTCTCAAAACTATAGTTAATCACTCTTCTTTAAATCAATCAACCTGCAAGGATTAACCAATCAAATTTCTGCCCTCCAGAGACAGTAAGAAATTTGATTGGTTAAAGCAGATGTCATCATATTAGGTCAAAATGTTAGTTTGACAAAAAAAGGCCAGTCTCTAGACCCTAACTGAAGTTGCCATATTAAAAACAAAAATAAGGAACGAAAGTTGCAAATTAATAATGAACAGTGGATTGCCTGGCAGTGTGGGATCTGAAGACATAAGCTTACCTTCTGGTGATGGAGCTTGTTCTTGTGCTTCATATAACATAGTCTTCATCACCTGTAATAACAAAAAAACACTCATATGAAATAACACCTTACATTTCTGTTTGTATTGACACCTTACATTTCTGTTTGTAATCACACCTTACATTTCTGTTTGTAATCACACCTTTGTAATCACACCTTACATTTCTGTTTGTAATCACACCTTTGTAATCACACCTTACATTTCTGTTTGTAATCACACTTTGTAATCACACCTTACATTTCTGTTTGTAATCACACCTTACATTTCTGTTTGTATTGACACCTTACATTTCTGTTTGTATTGACACCTTACATTTCTGTTTGTATTGACACCTTACATTTCTGTTTGTAATCACACCTTACATTTCTGTTTGTAATCACACCTTTGTAATCACACCTTACATTTCTGTTTGTAATCACACCTTTGTAATCACACCTTACATTTCTGTTTGTAATCACACTTTGTAATCACACCTTACATTTCTGTTTGTAATCACACCTTACATTTCTGTTTGTATTGACACCTTACATTTCTGTTTGTAATCACACCTTACATTTCTGTTTGTATTGACACCTTACATTTCTGTTTGTAATCACACCTTACATTTCTGTTTGTATTGACACCTTACATTTCTGTTTGTAATCACACCTTTGTAATCACACCTTACATTTCTGTTTGTAATCACACCTTTGTAATCACACCTTACATTTCTGTTTGTAATCACACTTTGTAATCACACCTTACATTTCTGTTTGTAATCACACCTTACATTTCTGTTTGTATTGACACCTTACATTTCTGTTTGTATTGACACCTTACATTTCTGTTTGTAATCACACCTTACATTTCTGTTTGTAATCACACCTTACATTTCTGTTTGTAATCACACCTTAGTGAGAGTGAGAGACTGGTCATCTTTGACAGTGAGAGATGGTCATCATTGACAGTGAGAGACTGGTCATCATTGACAGTGAGAAACTGGTCATCATTGACAGTGGGGAAACTATCTTAAAGAATCATTGATTGCTAAAATTTCAAAGGATCAATTTCGCTGAAAAGAAGGAGAATTGGACAATTGGATTTTAATTCTGAAAAGGGATACAGATAGCTGGACTCTATAGGCTGGTGAAATACTCTTTATGATGGCATTATATTATTTAGTTAAGAGACATATTATTAGATCAGTTTTATAATCTATGAAAGAATTTTCAAATTCTTTGGCAAATAATAAACTAAACAAACCATTGAATGGTAAGTACAAAGTATATAATGAAACGTAAGACACCTCAAACTATCTCTTTAACATTCCTTGAAAGATCTCACTATATCTCATTGATATTTAAATGTTTGAATTCAACATTCAGTGGTTGTATAAATACGTGACATGCACTAAGTGCATCTTTACTCAACTTCTGTTTTAAGGGACATGGTTGTCTAAATTTTTTCACAATCTGCTTTGAAATGAAGATCTGAATCTTTTGTTTCATGTATTTTCTGTGGGTGACTCCACTTGCCAGATTGTACAATATCCAATCAGATAGGGCCTACTCTGTTCACAATCTGATTGACCTGCAAGTCTGGATGTTTCCTTCTTCTATTTTCTGTGGGTGACTTCACCTGCCATCCATGATCTGATGAAATTTTCATGCATCTCATGTTCTAGGTTGTACACTATTCAATACAAATCTGAATCTTTCATATTTTTTCTGTGGGTAAATCCACTTGCCATCCATGATCTAACAAAATTGTTATGCATCTCTTGTTCAACAATATTCATTAATACTCTGTTCAGAATCTACTTTAAATGCAAATCTGAATCTTTCGTTTCATGCCCTTTATGTGAGTGACTTCACTTGTTATCTGTGATCTGACGAAATTGTTATGCATCTCATGTTCTAGGTTAAACATTATTCAATCAAATACTGTGTTCATAATCCCATGAAATGCAAAAATTTTGTTTCATGTTTTTTCTTTGGGTGACTCCACTTGACATCCATGATCAGACAAAACTGTCTTGAGACGACTGCATAACTTGAGCATTAACTTATATAGACTACTGTATCCCTTTAAAGAGATTGTAAAAAGGTTTTCTAAAAATTCTATGTATATCGGGGACACTGATAGCATCAATTTGCATCATTCTAATTTTCAATCAGACGTCTGTGGTTCCTGCAATTCCACAAAAACTAAGCGTTTAGTGATGTAACTAATCACGAAAGGCCTTATGTGATATAAGTATATTTTGCGATTAGTGACGTCATCAAACACTTAGTTTTAGTGGAATTGCAGGAACCACAGACATCTGATGAAAATAAGAATGGTGCGAAATGATGCTATCCTAATCCGTGATACACATAAAATTTTCCAAGAAAAACCTCTTAACAATCTCTTTAAGTAAGAGTTAGTTAAATGCAGAAGATTTCTGTCTAGATAGGAGCTTATCTTATTTAACCTTTTACAATAACTTATAACAAATAACACTATATATTGTGAATAGATAATCAATTGTTAGGTAGCTTCCTTGATAAAATAAATAAAGTGCGCACTTAATTTTCCCTTTCCATTACAATGTATATCAGGATAAAATTTGTAAAGTGCACACTTAATTTTCCACTAATATGTCAATATTTAATCAGGACAAATTAATTTATCAAGTGTGCACTTGATTTTCCCTTTCTCTTAACCTGAGGACAAAATTTAAAGTGTGTACTTGATTTTCCCTTACAACACATCAGGACAAAATTTAAAGTGTGCACTTAATTTTCCCTTACAACACATCAGGACAAAATTTAAAGTGTGCACTTAATTTTCCCTTACAACACATCAGGACAAAATTTAAAGTGTGCATTTAATTTTCCCTTACAACACATCAGGACAAAATTTAAAGTGTGCACTTAATTTTCCCATACAACACATCAGGACAAAATTTAAAGTGTGCATTTAATTTTCCCATACAACACATCTGGACAAAATTTAAAGTGTGCACTTAATTTTCCCTTACAACACATCAGCACAAAACTTAAAGTGTGCACTTAATTTTTACTTTTCTTAAAACACTTACACATGAGGATAAAATTGATAAAATGTGCACTTTCCCATACAGCAAGTTTGGGCAACATTTTGAGTATGCATTTAATTTCTCTTTTCTAATAAGATCACATCAAGATAAAACTAAGTGTGCACTTAACTCAATTTTCCCTTTTCTTTTCAACAAATCTGGGCAAAAATTTAGGGAGTGCTTTCTCAGCAGAATAAAATTAAGTGTGCACTTTTCAACACGAACCTAGAACACTACCACTTAATCAAGGGGAAAATTTGAAAACCTACAATTCAATAGAGTTCTTTTAATAAAAGATAACCCCGAAATCTATTACATTTGTACTGTTAAAATGTCACAAGTGAACACTACAAAACCACAAAACCACATTTCATTTCAATTGTACATTACATAAAAAAATATGAAAATTTACAATTAGCAAACAAGTTTAGGTAATAAAACCCAAGACAAACATGTTTAAAATATGTTTTGAGATTATCATTTTTGACAGTTACAAATTTAACTTGTCTTACTAGCTAGAAGATAATGAGAACATTAACTGTGAGATATCTATTCAAATTGGGGGTTTTGTTTCATGTTTTTTTCTGCAGGTGACTCCTCCTGCCATCTATGATCTGACAACATTTTTATGAATATTGAGTTCTGGGTCATTTAATATTTAGCCAATTAAATGATTGTTCAATGTTAAAACTTGAATTGTATCAACCACTAAGTGTTACTGATTGGTTACCATAAATTACAACAACTTTTATTCAACCGAATTCAAAATTCCATAGAACACGATTTACAGAAGAATCTTGTCAGATCATGGATGGAGAGTGTAGTAACCTTTAGCAAAAACATGAAACAAAACATCTAGATGACATTTAAATATTCTAGGACAATACCATGATTAAAAAAAAATTTTTCAGTCACAATTTCAATGACTGAATAAGTATATAGATTATCAATATAACCAAAAATATAGAGCAACGCTTTTGATAAAGGTCAATGTCATAGAAAATATACAAATGTTTTAATGGTAAGTGACCTGTTATCAAAAATATGATAATTAAAAACAGGTTGATAATGCCCTGTAGATATTTGACAATAGTTACATAAACATTTCATATAGACTGGTACAATTTATCTTTCTATTGAATTTCAAATATTTCAATTCAAAACAAATATGACCACAATTGATGTCTAGATAATTCAAGGTGCAGTCCCCCATTTTTTGATATTTAAGTTAAATTTCAATTACAATTGAACGTCTTAATATATATCAACTAAATATTTCAATTAACCAAAATGGGGTATTGTCCCTTTAAAGTTGAAAATTTCAAAACTTTTAAATATATGTCAAGTAAAGTAAGATTTCAATTGAATGTCAAATATTTCAATTGAATGTCAAATATTTCAATTGAATGTCAAATATTTCTTCTAAGCCTTGACATTTCAAGAGACAGTCCCAATACAAAACTAAGTCTGCCACTACTAAGATTGGACATTTCAGGGTGTAGGGCTATGGGTCATTACAAGTAACATGATGAGCTATCTTTATTTACCAATAAAAAGTAATCTAAGTAAGTATTCTAGAGAGTTCACAAAACTGGTATTCTCACTGGTAATATGTTAATCTATGCTAATTCAATGAGATAAAGTCAAGTTATCTAAATCACCATTGAAAAGAGCTATGGGTCTCTATCATTATTCACCAATAAAAAGAGCTACAGGTAGCCATATAAGTATTCTAGAGAGTCTACACAATTGGTATTTTTCTATTATCAGTAATATGTTAATAGGTATTATTTTAACGAAATAAAGTCAAGTTATCTTAATTCACTATTGATAAGGGATACAGTTGGCTACAAATGAGTTCTACAATATGTTTAACATCTGGTTTGTGTTCCAGAGAGTCTACACAACTGGTATTTTTCTACTATCAGTAATATGTTAATAGGCATTATTTTTACGAAATATAGTCAAGTTATCTTAATTCAGTATTGATAAGGGATACAGGTTGGCTACAAATGAGTTCTACCATGAGTCTGACATCTGGTTTGTGTTCTAGAGTGTCTACATAACTGTTATTTATCACTATCAGTAATATGTTAATAGATATTATTTTAACAAGATAAACTCAAGTTATCTTTATTCACTGATGTCACTGGACATGTTCTAGCATACATTAACATACTTTTACAGCTTGTTCTCTCTTCCTCTTGAACCTTGACTATTCTAATTTCATTTCCGTTTGGGGTTAGAGGTCAACAATCTGCCGATTTGGCGCTTTAACTTGGACTTTGAATATGCATAAATTAATTGTCATTAGAAGTACTTGACATTACAAAAATTGCATAATCCCTTCAAATATACCACAAACTAGTAATTTCGCTTAAGTTGAGCTGTGGACACATTTATACTAATTTGCTCAGCTCAAATATTCCAGTTTCTGAGTCTAATACCCCTTTTACACTAGGCCCCGATAAAGAGAGCCGCTCCGATCAAAACGTCTGTTTACACTGGCGTTCTGTGGTCTGGGCCAGGCCCACTTTAAACGGAAATAAGCGTGCGCTCTCTAATTAAAAAGATTACAAAAGGTCCACATTTGTAGATTTATAATGGCCGCCGATACGGAAGTTGTAAACCCTGCACATGCGCAGAAGAATTTTTAAACGGAACCAGGCATGCATTCGTTTTACACTAGTAAAATTGAAGTGGGCCAGGCAGCGATCCGGACCTGGCCAACCTCTTATTGCGGTGCCAGGCCCCGATTAAATTGGCTCGCTTTATTCCATTTACACTAGTAAAATTGAAGTGGGCCAGGCACCAATTGGTGCCGAGCCGAGTGTAAAAGGGGTATAGGGTACCAGTGGTCAAATGTATGGTAAAACTGTCCCTTTAAACTAAGGTTATATATAGAGTAATTCTTAAACTTTTATAGAATTGATCAATGAAAGTTCACAAGTGATCTATAAGAAAAGATATTTACTATCACTTCTGCTTCAAGATTAAAATCAAACTTAGTAAATCACAAAATTTATGATCTAAATTATATCAAAAGCCTTATCACACAAAGATTTCAGAGACACCTTAGATTGAAGGAAGTCAAAGGCTTTTCAGCTCTTTGTATGTGTATCAGGAATACATACTGTATATTTCCGAATATAATGCGCAAGCCTGTATAATGCGCACCCCTTCCTTACCCCATCAAAATCTGGAAAAATCCATTTACCTAATTACAAGGCGCACCCCTTGTTGACGAAAAAATTTTGTAGAGATGGCAGTTAAAATGGTATTTTTGACTATTTTGACAATGTCAAGGGCCATAACTCAAGGTTTCCAGGTCTTAGGGACATTTGAATTGTACCATATGAATTTATTCATTTGAGTATATTGACAATGTCAAGGGCAATAACTCAAAAACTGTACATGAAAATATCAGACTTAAAAAAGTATGTGGTGTTGTCGGTACTAAAAAGACAAAAAATGTGACTTTTTACTACCAACAACATGACTAACTGCCACATAATATTCAAACTCTAGACGCCAATTTGACATGAAGGAAAAACTCTATTGTTTTAACAATCCTAATGCATTAACTTAGATTTATTTCTACAAAAACACTGTCTTAAAAGAATTGTGCCAAAATAAATAAATCATTTTTTGAGAATTTTTGTTCTTTTATCTAGGACAACCCTTTTAACTAACAAGAAAGTGTGTAAAAATAACAGTAAACAGCTATACAATATCAACTCATCCTTCTATTTAGACCTATATTGGATCAATTTACCTTAAGCACATAGTGAATTAATGTACCGATAACTTAATAACTATATACTGTAGACTCTCTTAACTTTTCTTTTATATTAAGCAATACTAAGAATGAAAATTTATTGAGCCACAATATCATTCTATGTTGCCTTTAAAGATGGGTTCCCCTTATTTTTTTTTTTGGAAATGAAAATGCTAATACTTATATGAATTCGGTGGAATTTACCAGTCATGCCTGATAGAAGCTCCAAAATAAATGGTCATTAAAATGAGTCAGTTTTGCATATTAATATTGGCAACAAATCACAAATTCTGTCCAACTGTGAAAATTTCCAAGACTTGGACCCAGCTCAATATTCATGTATATCATCAAAACTATATACTCTTGTATCATGAATATTCAACACGGCTGCTAATAAGAAGAGTTAGAGTACTAGTTGTCGTGGAAACCTGTTTTTTAATCAATCATTAATCAACTCTGTAATTATCAATTAGTTTAATTACAAGTTATATTATCTAGTATTATCATTATTATACATTATCCCAGGGGAATTTATACTGTAAGTCGTTGCTCTTGACGTTTTGGCTCTTGATCTAGTTCTTATTATTTAGACATATTTTTTTCTTGTGTTTTCGGATCTTCCCACCTCAATTTTCCAGAAATTAGAAGAAAATATATGAGCTATGCTGATAAAAAAGAAACTTCCTTCAAACAAATTTTGGTCTTTTTTTTTAACTCATGGCTTTACAGATTTTTAAGAAACTAAATTGATTTGGCCTAAATAAACAAACCAAGAAATAACACACATGCAAAGCAAAACCCAAAATCCAAAACAATTTTATATCACAGATATTTACCGGTCAATATCACAGATATTTACAGGTCAATATCACAATATTTACCGGTCAATATCACAGATATATACTAGTCAATATCACAGATATTTACTAGTCAATATCACAAATATTTATCAGACAATATCACAGATATCTACTAGTCAATATCACAAATATTTACCGGTCAATATAAATAATAAACCCAGCTAGCTACAATAGTTTAAACTCTTTTTAAAAGGTGACCGCACACAGAGAAAATTTGATGAGCCAAAAACGCAACGCAAATGGCGAGCTTAACACCTCACTACTTCTCGCATATGTTGCAAGTAATATGACCTCATTTAAATATACTGAAATATCGACATATTATGATGAAATTTTCATCCAGATAAGATCATCTACTTATTTTTAACAAATAGCATAATATTTGAAACAGGTGTTTTTTCCGTTGCACTCAACTTCATAGTATCAGTATCTTAAAGATGGGTTCCCTTATTTTCATTTATGAAAATGAAAATGCTAATACTTATATGAATAGAAAGTAGATGTGTTATAATGGCTTGGAAAAATACCAGTTTGTCTCACATGTCCATAATTAATTTATAATTAGCTAAATTAGAAGAGAATTACCAGCAGAATTCCAATGAGTGACCGATCAAGAAAGGTCAAAAAGTAATTTTTGTATATCCAGACTGTACATACATGGACATTTATGATTGGTTAATACTCTTAATTATATGTAATAAGAACTAAAAGATATGATTAAGAATACATAATAATTCATTCATAATTAATCAAATAGTTTGCTTAATTTGACACTAAAACATAAGCAAACCCATCTTTAAGCTTGCCGAACAAAATGTGAACAAAATACAAAGAACCAAGTATTAAATACCAATGAACATTAGCCATGCCTGGGGCAAACTAGATATCAAAATACAAGACTGAAACATCACTCAATGTGGCGTACAATGTGACGTACAATAGGCTAGGGATGAAATTTCTTTTGAACTATCAGCTTATTACTGATGTTATTTTTTGTTAAAGGTGTTCAATGAAATCAAATATTATTTTGGTACCATTTTGAATTTTTCAAAGGGCCATTATGACCTTTTCAAAGAGCCATTGTGACCTTTTTTGAAAGGCCTTATTGACCAAATTTGGGGTCATTTGGTTAGTTGTCAAGTTGACTATAACCTCTTGTGTTTCCTTTCATTCTTGGGTGTTGAAGTCAAAATAGGCCGAGGATAAAAAAAAACCAAAAAATTTTATGCTTGTGTTTTCTTATATTCTTTGATGGTTAAAGGGACATTCCACTTTTTTTGTAGGTCGAAAAAATTTGTTCTCAAATTTATGAAAACTATACCGTACACCAAAATCTAAAGAAATGTGCCCTTTAACATATCTGACAGTTTAAACTAAAAAAATCCAGCCATCAATTTTTACCAAAAATATAAATTTAAAAACATTACGTGACGTCTGTAAGATCATTATGCATTTTGGAAGTTGTTAGAAAACTACTGTATGGATTTGAGTAAAATATAAGCCTAATTGTAGAGAAATATTTTATCCTACGCTTTCTAAAGATTTCAGCTAATAATATTGAGCCATTATAAAGCCTAACACCAAAACTAGGTCAAACTGCTTAATAACAAATAGTACTCTCCGTTTTTTGTTAACCCTTTTAAAACCAATTCAGTTAGATCAAGTAGATACATAGATCTAAATAGCATACTTTAGAAATATTTTCAGGTATAATTTAAGACGTTTTTGATCATAAAAACTTTTTATAAAAAAGAGGAATACCCCTTTAACTTAAAATCAGATGATTCGAAAAAATATTTAAAGAAATTGTTCTCTAGGGCCCTTGGCCTTTATTTTTTTTGATAACAAGTCAGCCAATATCAAGGCAATGAATAAAATTTTTGAGAAAAAATGAGGAATTGCAATCAATAATCTGTCTGAATGTTACCAAACAATACTTAGGCAATATTCCAAAAATTAAGAAAATTTGCAGACGCAATTTTTTTTCCAATTTGGAAGTAAAAACCAAAAAAAGGCAATGCCAAGATCAATATCCTCAGATTACTGAAGTAGAAAGTATTTGAAACATGGCCTAAATCCTACACAAGCTCAAGTTACTAAAAAAATAAATTTGCTTCTTCTTTCATTTCTCCAAATGTGACAAAAATACAAGTTGACGAATGACAGTGATGGTAAGTGGAAACAACCTTCCATAGAAATCGCCATGATGCTCGACTGATTGACAAGTAAAGTGACAGTGGAAAAATTCCAAAAAACCTTACCTCGTACTGTATATATTGTTTTCGCCATTCTGGAGTTATATGAGCGCCAAGATGCTCGGCGAACTTCATTTTGAAGATTTGAGTAATTCAACTTTCAGTCTTAATCCCCACATTTAACTTGCTACTGTGGGAGTTGCGCTTATCTCGATTTGTAAATAAAGAAATTTTCAACGATTGTTATGGTCGGAAGTACTTCGAGTGAATGAAGAGCGGAACAGAGTTATCTTTTCTTATATAGTTTCAGACCACAACTATTTTCTCCATAGCAGGATACGGACCACAACTTTTTTTAAAAAAAAAGAACAACATCAAAAGTGATAGTTAGCCTAGAGTCTATTTGCCTCGATAGAGGAAATGAATGGGGAATATTTTCATTGGTGTAGTCTTCAGGATATCAAAAGCTTTTTCGTTTTTTAATCTTTTTTTAGGGAAATACAATGCGGATGATTAGTTCGACATCTATCTGATTAAAAATGCAAATGCCACGTCCGCCTTTCAAGGTGAGCCCTTAAGGCTCCTAGGGTACTAGTGTCCCAAGTTGAAGCCTCAAAGCTGTGAGACAAAGGTCAATTGGTTAAAAAAAATGGCGAAACCGTCCCTTTAACACTTTTCTATGCCATTGTACATTTCAGAAGCAAGTCAACTTTGTTTGCTTAGAATATTGACTGAATACTCTTCAAAACCAGAATCGGAATATTCAATCTGAGACATTGGCTTTAAATTTCACCATCCAATAGACTATTAGAATTCAACAACTGGGTTAAACGTTAATCAGATTGACACTGATTGGTGATAATTCGTCTAATCAGTCGCCACATTCTAAACCTTAGAGTCACGGTTTGTTCGGAATTACTCGTATCTAACTGAACAAAAATCAGCAATTTTGTGAAAAAAATTTGAGATTTGGAAATCGAATTTTTTAGCACTGTTGCGTAATGGAATTGTTTGTCTGCTTCCAAAAGTCTGAGAGTCAAAGACATGAAGTTTATGAATTATGAGCTAAAATGTTGTGCGAGGAACTCTAGCTGCGCGAAAGTCAATATTTGAACAACTTTGTCTCGATTAACAAGAGTACAGCTTGGGATCTGAGTGGTCGTAGTCTAAATTATCCAGTCATTCACTGAAAAATATTTTGAAAAATATAATTGCTTTGGTGCATTCTGATGCATATTTTGGGTCAAAAATTGTCCTCTTCGCTTGTACCCCCATCGGTGCAGTTAGTATCCTTTAGTGCACAAATCGGGCCCATAGCTAGCCCAAGGTCTCAAATTTCAAGGGATATTTTGGATTTGGACCAGACACAAATTGCTTGTCTACTCGTGAACCAAAGATGTTGTCATTGAAAAAAATGAATTTCAACAATATATTTTTAATAAAATATTTACATTATACAGATAACAATTTATATTTACAAACACAATATTTACAAAAAACTGAAATTTACATTTTTACATTTTGAAAATAGCGATACAAAAAAATAAATTTTGCGACATATTTAGTAACATTTTTTGTAAATGGCAAATATATATATGTAAAGACGAACATGTCTTTTGCCAAGTTATATAATAAAATTTAGGTGAAAAATTTACAAAAAATGGAACGCAAAGTTGGCATATATTGCGGTGACGCACATCGAGGTATATGCAAATTAGAATATTTATATATATACAAAGCACGGATATTTATGCAAATTAAATGCAAATATAGTTGAAAATGTGCCATATTCATTTTGAATTAAAGATGACATAATTATATCTACAACTAAATAAATTTGCCCGAGACTTGCTGACACCATCTTTGTCAGTGTCAAGCTGTTTCGATTTTTGATCTTAAACCTTGACTGCAACATGCACTATTCTTGTATCATGGAAGATTGTAAATGAAGCGATTTGATTGGAATGTACGCTAGCATAAAGTATGTGAACAGTATTTCTGTCGAGGGAATTGATTGGCTGTATTCGCCTGCGTACAATTTCGTGATAGAAGAATAGTGTTGATTGCAGTCAAGGTATAAGCACACAGTTCGTAATAGCCTGGCAATGTGAAGTTGTGCTGAGCCAAGCTAACCGACACCTGTGAATATATTTATCAAACGTGATATGAGAATCTGCAAGTCTCGGACTGTGAATGAATACATGATCACGAACGTCAGACTCGACATTCATCGTTTTGAGCACGAAATCATAAACTTATTGGCCGAACGACCAGTTGAACAGCGCCTTGCGATTGTAAAGAAGTTTTCTAATCTTTAACCATTGTATATCAGGAACACTGATAGCACCAATTTGTACCATTTCAAATATAAATCATCCGTCTGCGGTTGCGGCAACTCCACTAAAAGTAAGTGTTTGATGACGTCACAAATCGCAAAAATGATTGTATCACATAAAGCATACGCGATTGGTTGACGTCATCAAACGATAAGATTTAGTAGAATGGCGGGAACCACAAACGTCAGATCGAAAATTAGAATGGTGCAAATTGATGCTATCAGTGTCCCCGAAAAAACATATTTTTTTTAGAAAACCTCTTTACAATCACTTTAAAACAAAACCTCATAGAGGTTAAATAATAAATTTAATTGCATCTTTTGATATTATAACAACTTTTATACAGTTTTTATAACTAATTGTATAATAATTCGCCTCTATCTTCCAGTCTTACATTGTCTATGCACAGCTGTGTCTAAGACAGAAGACGTCTGGGTGTCAGAGACTATATAATAATTTTTTCCAAATAATATGCACGTGATGCACGTGCATTTAGGGTCATTATTAAAATGAGATTCACCACGCCCATCTGATCTAAAAATAACTCTCAGCGTGATTATACGTACGTTCTTGATATATGACGTCCGAATTTTCCAGAATCGACTTATCACACTCCTTCGAATTATTTTCTTTGTGCAACGTAACTGGTCACTAATGAAAGGGAAGTAACTCAATAGATGATCCAAAGGGAAGTAACTCAATTTATGGTTCCAAGGGAAGTAACTACCAGGTCAATTTATTCAAAAGAGGGGTAGCAGTTGGTGGTCTAAATCCTAACTTAACGTCTACGATACCCACCAAGAAGAAATAACTCAGGAGAAGGTCGGACATGAAAAATTCAATGGATGATTCAAAGGGAAATAACTCATTATCCAATTCATCAGGAATATCAAGCACAATGGATGATCCTAAGAAAAAAATCCAAAAAGGTTTGAAATCACTAGTATAAACGCAGAAGTCCGCTCAACACCGATACATATAGAAATATCCGCTTCCATGTTAAATTAGCACAAATAAGCCTACCATAGTCATATTTAGGAACTGTGAAAATCTTTTAGCTAAACATCCTTAAATGAACCTCCCGTTAGCAGTTGGTATCGAAGCGTCCAACACAATAAAGTCTTAAAATAGCGAAGTGCCCGAGGACGACGAGAGGACCACATCGAAACGTTGCATAAAATTATTACCAGTGAGAGTCGTTCCATAAAGCTGTGTCTATTCCTCAATATTTTCAATAATTTTCGACTCTTTCCTGTTATTAATTTCAAACTCTTTCCTGTTATTAATTTCAAAATCTTTCCTACTGTTAATTTCGAACTCTTTCGTATCATTAATTTCCAACTCTTTCTCATTATTAATGTCCGACTCTTTCCTGTCATGTATTTCCAACTCTTTCTTGTCATTAATTTCAAACTCTTTCGTATCACGAACTTCCAACTCTTTCTTGTCATTAATGTCCAACTCTTTCTTGCCAATAATGTCCAACTCTTTCCTGTCATTAATTTCCAACTCTTTCTTGTCATTAATTTCCAACTCTTTCTTGTCATTAATGTCCAACTCTTTTTCATCATTAATTTCCAACTCTTTTTCATCATTAATTTCCAACTCTTTCTCCTTGGTCTCTATACCGTTCTGGTTGACCTCTTCGATCTCGATTATCACGTCTTCCAGAGGAGGATCTTCCATGACGAACGCGTTGGGTTCGAAGATAGGGATACATAACACGAAGAAGGCTCCACCAAATATTACGCCCCCTGAAAAGCAAAACGAAGTATATATAAGAGTGAAATGGGAGACGGATTGTAGTCAATAGTCAATGGGACTATATGAATTCGGCCTCGAGCCATCAAGGGCGAATAGCACATCGTTAAAATGGATCAAGGGTTTTTGTACTTGTTCGCCCTTCTTTTCTCAAAATGAAGGAATTCAAGCACTGACATTTACTTAATTCTGATGTTTAAAAACTCAAACATGCACGTATGAATTCTTAAACTTAAAATCCAAATTTGAAATTCAATCAGATCGGAATTCTTAACTTGTTCTGGAGATATTCCGCCAAATGATATGGCATTACTGATACCCCAGGCATCTGGTGTAAAAGTTTGGAGTTGGACTCAAGCTCTGAAAGCTAATCCTGGAGAATGACCTCCGGGATAATAATTGTCCATCATCAGATTTGCTCGATTAATTTGTACAAGAATAATTTTGAAGAAAAATGTCCGGCCAATAGATTCAGAGATACAAGGGAGATTATCGAGAATGATAAGAATAATGCACTATTAATGTGCGGTTTAGTTATAGAATAAACTGAGAGAGAGGATTGAGGATCTCAAAATGGTTTTCTAGCTTTTGTATGTGTATCAATGACACTTATGGCATTGATCATGTTCCTCTAGCAACGTTGTTTATGACTCCTAAATGCCATACACCGTTGCTAAAGGAACATGGGCTTGTATTTGCACAATTCCAATTTTGTTTCTATCCAAACTATCAAGGCCATTAGCACCTCTGTTACACGTATTGTGCTTTGACAGCATTTTTGGATTAATTTATTGATAAGAGTGTGGGTTAAATTGTTTTAGTTTTGGAAGATTTAAGAGGGATTTCGGGTTTGAAAGGGTTTCGGGTTTGAAAGGGTTTCGGGTTTGAAAGGGTTTCGGGTTTGAAAGGGCCTCGGGTTTCATAAGGTCCAGTTTTCCAAGTATTGAAGGGTTAAGTTTTCTAAAGAGGTCCGTTTTTTGAAAGGGTTCAGTTTTTCAAAGAGACTCGGGTTTTGAAAAGGTTAGGTTTTCTAAAGATCTCAGAGTTTGAAAGGGTTTAGAGTTTGAAAGGGCTTAGAGGTTGAAAGGGTTCAGTTTTCTAAAGGGGCCTAGGTTTTGAAAGAGTTCAGTTTTCAACAGATTCAGTTTTGAAAAGAGGCACAGGTTTTGAAAGGGTTCAGTTTTACAAAGAGACTCAGAGTTTGAAGGGTTCAGGTATTGAAAGGGTTTAGAGTTTGAAAGGGTTCAGTTTTACAAATAGGCCTAGTTACTGAAAGGGTTCAGTTTTCTACAGAGGCTCAGGTTTTGAAAGGGTTCATTTTTCCATGGAGACCTAGGTTTTGAAAGGGTTCATTTTCCCAAAGGTTCAGAAAGTGTTCCAGGTTTATAAGGAGTTTATACTGAGTGGTGATTAGGTTAAAGGTTCAGGGGATGTTAGGGGGTCAAATTGAGGGGATTTACCGGGTTCGCTACCACCTTTACCTACCTGCGCAGTGGTATGCAAAATCATATGAACCGGTTATATCATACATCCACCCTGAAAAACATGAATGAGAAATATGGCTGATGTTCGGTTCTCACACCTTGACTTCATCACGGTCACTACCAGGGTGGCCCGAATGGACTCACTCACTCTCTGTCCTGCTGTTCGTGAACAACTCGGTTCAGAATATCAAACAAACACTCGAGGATTCAGTCTTCTCAGATCAACTCGTACAATAACAGCAGCTGCTTAAAGAACTAAAATTAGGTGTATCCATACTCCAAAGTACACGTTCTCTCCCGGAAACTGAAATAAATAGGATTTGGAATTGAAAAATTCCCGTCTTCGAGAACAACCATGGAACACCTCTCAACTGTTTCCAGAAACTCCACCGCTTTACTGAAGATCATTACGTCATCACCATCTTTGTCGTCTGCTGAAATAAGAAAAGTTAAGAGTTCCCTCCCTTATATCCCTTGTTCTTTAGTGTCTCGAGCAATGTTTTGACCAAGTGATCACGCCTAAAATGGATTATGTGATTGCAAGCTGAAGGATTAGAATAAGGTTTTTGGATTCATGCTTTGGCGACTGGTGCTATATAGATCAATGCTGACCATAGATCATGTTGCCGACACTGTCAGGTTCTGATTAGTTTGACCATGTCTCCTCCCATAGAAACTCACCTGCAAGCGTCGGTGTTAAGAAAAATGCCGTGCCAGCCATCATCATCTGAATACCAAATCCAGTGGCAAGATGGCGTAATCCCAGTATTTTTACCAACATTTGTGTTAAATTCACGTATGCTCCACCGTAATACATGGCAAAGGCGACAAGGAAGACATGGTACGCCCATACTTTGCCACCTAAAAATGGCACAAAAAACACGGCAACACCAAGCAAAAGCTGACAGCCAAAGTATATCACCACGATATTGATGTCCGGGCTGCTACAGAAAAGACCACCCATAAGCCGGGCAATGATCACACATATTCCTTGAGTCATATAAAAGCGAGGAACTATATCAATATCGATACCGTTGGCGATGACCATGGATGGGAAATGAATAAAGTTAACACCGTATCCGCACATCATGAGAAACTGGCTGATGCTTAAACACCACATAGCTTTACTTTTTATCACTGAAAAGTCCGGAGAACAACGTGAAGGCTCTATAGGTTCGTCTTCAAAGTCTTCGCCGGCTTCTTCTGCTTCTTCTTTAGCTAGAATGTTCCCGACGTTTTGCATACTCCAATGCGACTGCCACATGACGCTCGTGGAACCGTACTGACGCTGCGACAAGGAATTGATGGTGTTGATGCTTGTGATGAAACGATTGGACAGGTGATTACGATCATAAAAGCTTGTGGCGTGGGAATTCACTGAGTACAGACTAGTGTTTATGCCGTTCCTTGAGGAAAACTTCCGAGATGAAAGAGCTGGGGATCTATCACCGAGTACGTGACGATTGTGCACACTTCGAGCAAGACTGTCATTGGAGTTATTGAGATCAGCTTTTGATTCACCGTTACACATTGGCACAATATGTTGATTCACCTTTGGTATTTCTAAATGACTCTGGCTTTTTAATTCTAGGATCCTTTTCGGACTGATGCATCGTGTCAGCGGCATGCTCGCCGCTTGGTTGGCTTCACGTAGGTATTTGTCTTCTTTGGTAAATTTTTTGAATAAGGAATTGCTGCAACAGTTTATTGGATTTTCATCTATGGGAAAGAACAGAGCCCCGAGAACGCATATTTGTGCGACCATACAACTGTACACGCCCATCGTCGATCTCCATCCGATATTGTCAATGAGGTACTGTGTCAGGGTGGGACCGCTGATGTAGCCCACCCCTGGCGTGGCGAAGGTGATGCCACATGCTATTAATCGCCTGTCGTGAAAGTAGTGGCTTGTGATCACACTTATTGAAGTATACATTATACCATAACCTGTGCCTGAAATAGAAAGGGGGTATTAGTAAGGGT